CTTTGATACACGATATCAAGGATGCACTGGACAAAGGCTTAGTGGCCACACTGGTTGCCGCAGATGTCAAGGGCGCCTTTGATGCTGTACTGATGAATCGACTGATTCTAAGGATGCGAGAGCAAGGCTGGCCGGACTGCCTCGTACGATGGGTTGAATCCTTTATGACAGACCGAATGGCTTGTGTACGCTACCCGGGCGTCAGAACACCTATGTGCCCTCTGCGTTGCGGACTGCCCCAAGGATCCCCCGCATCTGCCATCCTCTACCTACTCTACATAGAGCCGGTACATCGCCTGGGAGATGATGAATCCCAACACTTCGGGTATGCAGATGACTGTGCTGTCTTAGTCACCGGATCGTCCTTGGAGGAAACCGCTGAGAAGGCACAGCGCGAACTAGATAGTATGATCAAGTGGGGAGTAGAAAACGCCGTCGAATTCTCACCTGACAAGACAGAGATCCAGCATTTCTCGAGGAAGAAGGGAAATGCTCAGCTACCTACAATTCAGCACGGGGAAACGATTGTCTTCGCCGCACCAGCTATGCGATGGCTTGGAGTTTGGCTTCACAGCAAGCTCAGCTTCAAACATCACATCGAAGAAAGACTGACCACTGCCCGAAAGGTAGTCCAGCACATTAAAGGCCTAAACCGCCTGTATTCTGGTGCACCGCCAGGCTCACTGGTAAAGGCTATGAAGTCTGTAGTGCTGCCCAAAGCCCTGTTTGGATCAGAGATCTGGTGGCCAGGACCGAAGCGCCACTCCAGACGCCGTAAAGACGGCGAGTTTACTCTAGTTAGTAACGGCCTACGCGAACAGTTGGACAAGATTCAGGTCCTCCTGAATGACGCCATCCGGTCCAGCCTCCCTGTATGGAAGACAACACGATTGTCAGCGTTATACCGAGAAGCCAGCCTGCCGCCAGTGGAGCAATTGCTCGAGTCTACCCGGCGTCGACACGCGGTTCGCCTGCTTACCTTGGATGAGGCCCACCCTCTTGTATCCCGGGTACAGACTGAACGAACAACTCGGACTGGACACCCACGCCGACCAACCACATTACAAGCTGCTGCTGAAATCGCCTTGCCCTTTCCGAGACCGGTACTACAGCTACCCATCTACAACGGGAAGACCCATCAAAACCCAGCAGCCATGTCAAAAGATAAAGCAGCACAGGACTTTAAGGATTGGCTAACACGGCTAGATCCTTCAGAGGTTGTCGTCTACACTGACGGCTCAATGATTGGCAAACAAATGACCCGACCTGCACACGCAGAAGACCCGGAGGCATTTGATGAGCCTGGCGAGGAATGCGTCGGATTTGGCTATGTCATATTCCAAGGACGTGAGGAACTACACCGAGGATGTGGTCAGCTGGAACAAGCTGAAGTCTTCGACGCAGAAGCCGAAGGAGCACGGTATGGGCTTAAAGCAGCCATCGAGCTCTTTCCCGACAACCCTAGGCCCAAGATTACAGTGTGCTTGGATAACACAGCAGTTATTCGGAGCCTAGAAGGCACGCCAGCACCGTCGTCTCAAACTGCATTCCTTGACTTCCAACGGATGCGACGACGATACGGACCTGACCTAGTTAATGTTAAATGGGTGCCTGGCCACAAGGCCATTACAGGCAACGAGATTGCAGACCAACTGGCCAAAGCCGGCGCGGAAGCTGGAGAGGTAGTCAACCAGATGGCTACACTCGCACACTCACGACGAGTGGCCAAAAGGCAAGCTCGTATTGACTTTAAGGCCTGGTGGGAAGAAAACCGTCCAGAGGCATACATAGACTACCGACTTCACGCTTCTCTCAAACCTACAGAGGAGCTAAAAGAGCTGGATCGACGATTGCTACACCACCTCCTGGCGGCTAGGACGGGACATGGCGACTTCAAGGACTACCACGAGCGGTTCGGGCACGAAGATGCCCATCTGACTTGCTCTTGTGGCAAGTGGAAGACGCCAGCCCATCCTTTCTTCTGCCGGAAAGCTTATTCGGTATTACCGCCTCATGACATGAATAGAAAGGATGTTTCCTTTTGTCTCGGAATCAACTGGCGCAGGTTTATGGCCAGAATTCAGCCCTCACATTTCTTTTCTTGGACGTGTCCCAGAAAAGCATGGCACAAAACACTGTGGCAGAAGTACGTCGAGAGCGGCCGTAACGGAGGCTCACTGCCCCAGTTCCTGCGAGGAGAGGGTATTGAGATTGGGCCGGATCAGGAGATCCAGACGCTGACAGCGGACTTGGACTACTGTGAAGGCACGTAACGGGCGAGACAGGGCTGCAGCGTTGTTGACGTTCAACATAGAATTTACGACTAAAGAGTAAAACAAAAGGTAAGAGTTGCACGCGCGGCTGGCGCGGGAGATATACTCCAGGGCCAGACCCACCGCGGGAATCACTCTTCCTTATCTAATCTACAACCATTCAGGGCGCTCGCATCCGTGCAGCGCAGCCAATCCGCCAAGGCATGACCCGTCAGACAGGGCCATAACAACTACCACGTTCGCCGTATGAGACGCAGGCGGTCAGCCCTGCAAAACTAATTTTTTCTTGGTCGTCTTGGTTTGTTTTGGCTTAATACGTTTTGTCTTTCACTATTTTTCACTGTCCTGCTTCGATGTTTTGCTTTATTATATTTTCGTTTTGGCTTTCAACAGGATGATCCGGCTGTAACAGCCTATGCATGGAATAACTTTGTGTTGGACCGCGTCTGACGCAATGGGCAGCACTTGACAGGATGACTTAGGTCGTGGTTTGCTCTCGGATTGACGGAATTTAATTGGTCTTGGTGGGCTTTAATGCCTACAATGTACTTAGATTCTACCGCTGTAGCACGTCTCATGCCCTTAGGGAGGCGGAAGTAGACGCTAAATACACACACACACACGCACATATAACGCGCAGCATGGCCATCTGGGGCTTTGGAGTACGTAGCCTCTTCGAAGGTCGAAGGTCGAAGGTCGAAGGCCGAAGTCAGATCAGACTTCGACTTCCTGTCGATTTTGACTCGTTTTCAGAATTCTTAACCCACCTTCCCTTAACCTAGTACTGTGAGAGCGTATATCACCAGGAGACAAAGGCTGCAAGGTATGATGATACTAATTAATACAACAATAAAGCTAAGGGAGAAAAGGAAGAAAGGAAGAATGAAAGGAGGGCGCGGGTTGCGCGCACAAGTAGTGTGTACCCGCCGTAAGCCTGGCAACAAACAACCGTCTGGCTGGCAGCTGCCGTACCAGCCAGCGTATGAGTGCAATCTGAGCCCAGATTGACGGCGCTATCACAGGATGTATAAATAACCCTATTATCCCGTAGTAGATCATCTGGTTTTATATTTATGCTAGAAACTAAGTCGTCACAGGTGATTAACCCAGTAGACGCACGAGTACCGCACCGTCGTTAGCGGGTCCGGATCTGGTATTTGGACTTTATCGTTTGGAAATCCCAATGCGCTTAAGCCGTATATATCGCGTCTTAATATTTTAGATATAGTATTAAGTGACCTTAAGAAGATGGTATAGTTTATATTTTCTTTTTTTAGAAGGGAAAATCTAGTTAAAAGCCTTTTAAGAAGCTTGGTTGCTAGCGTTGTTAGAAGTATTGCTAAGTAGAAAGTCCTTAGCTAATTAATGAATAAAATAGATAATTCGTTCTCGTAACGTTAGAAATGAATTGTAAAGCCCTATAATCTCTTTTAGAGATTTGAGATCGTTGCAAATGACTGTGACGGCTGGCACCACCAGTCGTTATGGATTCCATTCACGGGTGGCTTCCATTCACGGGTTTGGTTCAGATGGTTCAGGTTCTGGGCTTGGCCTGGCTCCCTCCCAGAGTTCAGGGTATAAAACCCAGTCCTTCCCATCTAGCCTTCCCTTTTGAGGTTTTCTTCTTTCCTCAACTTCTTATCTTTAGTCCAAGTTAGCCATTAGGGTAGTACAGTCCTTGCACCCGTACCCATCCCTGGCCACGCGTGACAATGACGTTGGGTATTTTAATGAGAGAGGTTAATTCCTAAAGGTTGAAAAAAAAATATAACACCTGGGATTCGCTGGTCGTTACCGATCCAATTATTAGTTAAATGTCTCAACGACTGTATAATACGGAGGGTTGGGAAGATGATAAGGGCCAAGAGTAGTCTCGCCCTATATTTCTATAATAAATCCCCGCCGCTACCACTATATCTGCTACCCATATACCCGCCCTCGGGCTCCCAGCCGCTCTAACTACCAGTTTCGCTGATATAAAGACGTCCGCTAGCGTAGATAATACGAAGTAAGTAAAAGTAGGTTTACTTCTTTTCCCCTTATAATATTTTAGAATAATGCTAATACTTATAAAGAATCTATATTACAATTTTCTTATATTATGTAGCTATATTCGCTTACTTCAATTATTGCTGTTTAAAAACGAGGACGCTGTAAAATATTGTCGGCTCTTTTGTACTGTATTGGATATAAAAGGCACCGTATTGGACTCAAAAGGCACCACATTGGACTTAAAAGGCATTCGTCCGTACGAGGCCTTACCCTACGTATAGGGCTCCGAAGATAAACTTTATTCCATTTTTATAAATGGGTATGATTTGGCCGTCGGAAAAAACCTTTACGTAGCGTTATTACATTTTCGAGATCATTCTATTAAACGAACTATATAGATAAATGCTATTTATATTAACTAAAAAGACGAAGAAGAAAAAGGACACTAAATGTAATTTATAGCGAAGATCTACGCTATAGTAAGTCGCGTAATTATTTAATTTAGAGGGGAGGTAGCCGGTAGCGACTAAATGCTCGAAGAAATACGTATTGTAGCCAAGCTATCTACGCTCGAAGAAATACGCATCGCAGCCGAGCTGTTTATAAGACGATTAGATAATAAAGCGGGAATCTTTATATTGCTTAAATGATTGTAATTTTAATGTATTTAGGTAAGGGAACTGATATTAAAGTATTATAATTAAGGAAATTAATAGATTAATATAAGTACTTTAGGAAGTTGCTGCGGTTCGCTATATCCTAATTAAGTATAATTCTATTAAAGTTAACGGATTTGTATTCTATTCAAACCTAAATATATTAAACCTATTTAATAAATTCCTTATAAACCTACGGGCTCGAATCTTTTTAGTAACCTACCTTATAAAGGCCGCAATCTTCCGGCCTAAATACATAACTAATCAATTAAACAACTTTTTTCTTAATATATACCCTTTAATTAAATTAATAGAGATATACTATATTTACGAAGTTAAAGATTATTATAATAAAATATATGCCTTACTCGGTATAAACTCTAATAATTTTATAGGACTTCGTAGAAATAATGTTTTAATAAATTTATTTACTTCTTTTTATTTAAAATAGTTTTTATAATAAGCTTTTCGGACAATAAAGAAAATGCTATTATTGAGGGTAAAAGTTGTATTTTTTAGCGAAGTGTCCTCAGTTAAATAAAATACTATTTAGGAAAATAAATAAAGTATAGCGATTATTTAGAGTAATACCCCTAGCTATATTTGTATAAAGGAAGTATAGGGTTCTTCCTGGACCTTCCCGATTATAATAAAATCCGTTTAAAAAGGAGATATTATTTACCTTCTTTAAGGAATGTCGAAACCCACAGTTCTTAGGCTATATAACGATTATTAAGCGGTTATAATAATTATAATTTCCCTAGCAGGCGATTTATAAGCTACGATTAGAGATATTAAGTAGTTAGAATTTTTATAATTAATAATAGTCTTTCTATATAATTTTCGATTTATTTGGGATTGGGATATAGATTTAAATAAGTAATAAAATAAAAACAATTACGATTGTTTTGTAAGTATTTTAAAGTATTCAAAAATAGGGTTATAAGGTTGTTTAGATACGGCGATTAGGATACGGAATGTTAGATTGGTATTATAAGAGGTGAAATAGTATGGAGTTGTAGTGAAGAATCTTTGGGAAGAAACAGCGGTTCTTAAGAGGGTATTGAGGAGTATGAGTAGTTTAAAAAAAATTTGCTTAGGTCCCGAGAATTTAGAAAAGGAAGATGTAAAGGAAATAATAATAAATTAATTTATTGAGGATAAGGGCTAATAGACGCTTTTATATTTGGCGGTAGGAAACGGGTATAAGACGGTCGTAAAATTGCTTCTCGATACCAGCAAGGTTAATTTGTATAGGGAGGAGCTACGGACGGCGCTGTGGCTTACGGAGTAAAAAGGCTATAAAGCGATCGTTAAGATGCTTCTCGATATTGGTAAGGTTGATGTAGGTGCTAAGGATGAGAATGGATAGATAACGCTATATATGGTGGTAGAGAATAGGCAGGAAGCGGTTATTAAGCTGCTTCTCGATACTGGCAAGGTTAATACAAAGGTACAGTATGGGGAGGTCGAAGGCAAAGCTAAGATTCCATTTATGATAGAAGATTTCAGATGGGGAGAAGAAAAGAGGAAGAGAACTAGATACAAGCGTGCAGACCCAAATAAATACCCTGGTCGCCCAAGCGATAGCGGGACCTATATGTGGGTCGCTGACTGCCAGCGCCGTCATAGTTTCTACGATTTATCATTCATAATAAAAGATTATTTAGTATATAGATAGAAAGAGAGAAAAGAAATAGCGAATGTATAATGATACCTGACGTTTTAAATATTTTCAGAGCAAACGATGTTATCCAATTCTTTATATCCTAAATATCAGCCTGTCGCCATCCCCTACGAAATTTTGCCACCTCCGTCTACATAAACAATTCCTAAGTACACTAACCTTCGCGCGCCACTCTATATCCGTCGGGAATCATAATTTTAATTAATTTTAGAAGTAACTACGACCCTACCCTCCCTTACCTTTAGAGTATCTTTATTTAGGGAGTAAACAATAAAGATTGGAGAGTAAACCAAGATCAATTCTTGCAGGAGGAAAGATTGTGAAAGGCTGACTCGAGGTGAAGTTGTCCTCCAAGCTTGCCTCTTAGGATGCAAGCCTGAGTAGCTTCGTTTGTATGTAAATGTCTATAAAATGATAATGCGGTTTTGTTTGTTTGATTGCTGCTGGTGATGATGGCTGTCGGAGTGCACAAGTTCAAGTTCAATTCCAGAAAGGTTGTGGGTTTGGGGAAAAAGGATGAGGTGAGGTCGGTGGCTGGGCAAGCGGGATTCCATAACATCGACACGACAGCGGAACTGCGGACGAAACGAAGACGACTTCCCATCCTCAACCCTAACCCGTATCATCACCACTGTGACGGCAGCCTTGCAGCTGTGCCTCTTGACTGCCATCGCAACTATATAAGACCACTTGAGCGACCGAATTGCCAGCTTCGGTTACTTGTATCCTTTTGGAACATAGCCTAGGGGTGTAGTGGTCCGCCAGCGCCGTGATAACCACTTCCGCACTTTCTCTTTCATCTTTACTCGCAACGTCGGCCATATTTCTCAGTCTCATAGCTTTGTCATTGGAAAGCAGGCGTCATAAATAAGTCTTCCGTTGTTCCATACTCCTACATACCACAACACATCGTGCCTCTGAATTCCAACCACAAAAGCCCCTGAACCTCAGGCCTTCTCTCATCTGGAGCAAGTTCCTTCTCACATCGCCCCCGGAGCCTCCTGTACAACGATCACCTTGTCTCCCTCCAGCTTCCTCACAACTTTCACAACGTATCATCTGTTATAGATTAGCCTTGTCCTTTCCAACCGGCAGTGAAGCCCCTTTGGATCCGACTAAAAAAAAAAGGGGGAAGCTTACAATTTATCTTCATCCCCAAATTCAATCCAAATCAAGGCACACCTCATCATATTTCTCAACACTGAACGGCCCTCCACCATTAAGGTCCCGAATAGCCGTTATAACTTCACCGGGAAAGAGGGTTTGCTCGCCGCTGGAATCAGCTGATTGGAAGGCTGCACGGAGGCGGAGTTCGGTTGCCTGAGCCTAACAGTTGGAGTTGGTTGTTAGTAGAGGTAGAAGATTGGAGTTGGAGGGCATCTCACCATCGTATCGAGAGAATAGGATTTGCTTGGACAGGGCAGTAGGCGGGATAATGATAGATACTCGGAAGCCTCTTAAGAGCAATGATGACGATTTGGGTTTCGAGGAGCTAGGACTCGAGTCAGCCTTTTACAATCTTTCCTCCTACAAGAATTGATTCTGGTTTACTCCCTAATCTTTATTATTTACTCCCTATTGCTTCCTATCGTATTAGGAGTCCCCCTAGTCGTCGTATATCTCAATAGCAACGTTAGAAGGACTGCAATGGCAATATTACGTAGAATGTATTCGCAGCAATTAAAAGTGATAGAACCTTCTCGTATATTCTAATAGGTGCGGAGGGCTTTAGCAACAACGCCTCGCTTTATACTCAAGCTTTCGGTCGATCTTTTCAGGTCCCAGATGGTCGATATTATGTCAGGGATGCGGGGTTTGACGTGCGGTAGGGAATCGTGGATTTGTAAGACTAGAGGAATGAAGAAAGGAGGCCTCGCCGTGCGAGAAGCCCGCCTTGAAGAAGTACCAAATTGAAGAAATTACGGAAATTAACTTTTCCCTTTCAAAATTTTTTATTAATAATAATCTGCCCCGAATCAGTCGTACCGTAAATATTGAGTGTCTTTCTCCTTTAGAATCTTCTTACGCTAGTACAATTCGGAACGGTTCTCATACTTGGGCTACTTCAAGCCTTCGACTTTCAGCCTTCAACGCTCAAACTCATTCCTAGATTTTCCTAAACCGAAGAAACCCGAGGTTAAAGAAGCCGCGGAAGCCCTTCTCCTTCGGAATTTTATTAGAATGTCTATACAGTTCAAAACGGTTTTCCTACTTATCCCATCGGATTAGCTCGATTACCCAGGTTGCCCAGTCATGGCTAAGTTCAACCAATGACTGGTGCAAGCTGCTAGGCCGCTGCTGGTGAGATAGCGGCAGGCAGCCGTCGCTGGCCAGCAGGCAAGTAGGGCTCTTCACAACACTACTCATTCTTATCCTACGCACAGCTAGAGTCAGCTTCGTAGGACAATAACGAACTGTTATACACTATACCTAAGGACGCCCTGCACTGTCTCGGAGGAGGGACTGGAGAGCATGCTGACGACGGCAAGCCGGAGTTAAATGGTCAGAGGCCGTAACGTTCACGGCGTTGATCGCTAAGAGGAGAGCTTTGAAGGCTCGCGGCCGAGCTTTACATGGAAGGGGGGTTTGATGTCACAGCACTGGCGGCCAGGTATGACAGTTTGGCTGAATAGGACGAAAGGGGCAAGTACGATAAAATCAGGAGACGGTCGTAGTATTGGAGCTAGGGTTTTTGACAGGAGTAACACCAAAATTGCATTCGGTTAGACCGGGTTATTTGAGTAGGTTGTGCAGCAGTTTGGGCCCGTTTAGAAGGCTGGCATCGCCTTTCTAACCGCCAAGTAGGCTGGAGAGCTGACGACTTGGGAGTTTTGGGGGTTTTGGAGATATGGGGAGTGATAATTGGTAGTTTCATTTTTATTGCGTAAGTCACCTCTCCTTTCAACTACCCTTTGTTTAATAAAGATTCAATATTCGTTCTTTCTACTAATCTTTATATATATACTTTGCAAGAACCAGATTAAAGGAATAATCGTTAAGTTAATATTAAGTTGGATAATATCATCGGGATGGGAAAATTATAATCGGACAAATAATCGGGCTAACCGAAGGATTCGATAATTTATAGTAGGGGCGACTTTACATAAACGACTTTTAAGAAGGGACGGTAGGACGGTAAATAATATAAATGGATTTTACGAAATATAATAATTAATTGAATAGCTATAATTTCCCTAATAATAATAATATATAAATTTTATAAAATATAATAATAAATTAGATAGCTGTAACTTTAAAATTCCTAGGCAATAAACGCCCTAACTCCAATAACTAATTAAAAAAAGTAGTTAAAGTATTACAATATAATATATAGGATAGAAGGCGTGAATTAAAAATATATATATATACTTAAAATTTAATATAGAGGTTAAAAATAAATAATTTGCAAATATACCAATTCTCGTCGAACCAATAATTAACTATAAGGTCGTTATTCTAAAAATAGGAACGAAATATAAATATTACGAACATTCAAAGATCCCTTCTCAAACTGACGAAATATTTCGTCCTATAAGATAAAATTAATAAATAAACTTCTATTTAATTATATAGATTAGATATAGTACAATTTTTAATATTTAAAATATATTCTTTAAATAGAAATAGTGAAAGTAAAATATATATTCTATATATACTTAAATAATAAATATTTCGCCCGTAGGCATTAAATATTAAAATCCAGCCCTATTTCTTAAATAATTTAACTATTTATATACTACTCCAATCAATATTTTAATTAAATCAAATAAATAGGAAAGAATTAAAAACGGTATACGCAAATTATTATATATAATTCTCTCTATTAATTATATTAATTCGTAAAATTATCTCTCTATAATACTTCTAAATCCTTTCGGGGATCCTTAAAAATCCCCTTTATCTAATTATATAATCTTTTATTCTCTTTTTTCTACCTCCTACCATTCGAAAATATTTCTCTCCGTAATTTATTAATCTAAAATATTAAAGGCTAATAATATAACGTAAGATTTTCTTTTATAAATTTAATAAATTTTTTTCATTATCTACTTACCCCTTCTTCTCCCCTACTAATTTTATAGGACTAATATAATTCTTTTCATTAAATTCATTGATAACCCTATTTTCGTTTAGCCCATTATAGTAGACGTAAATCTAAAACAAAACCTAAAAAAATAATTCGAAATTGTATATAAAAGAATATTATTCGTTTAAAAGGATCCTAATTACTATAAACGCTTTAATACCCATTATACCCTTTATTCCGGAAATACCTTTTCATTCGTTTCTAATAATAAAATCTAAATCAATTAAAAACGAAGGCTAAAAAAGGTTATTATCGTCCTTACTAATTATAAAATTATTAATAGAAATATCTTTATAAAAGAAGTTAACCTTTTTCTATAAGAACTTGTATCTATTAATATAACCTTTTAATATAATAAATAAGGCCGTTCGGGAATTTATTTTATAAATAGGTTATCTATAATTATAAAGAATAATTCGTTAATATACCCGATCTAATAGCGTATTATTAATCGGAAATACTATATAAAATTATTTATTAGAAGGTAAAGTAACGTCGGTTTAATTAAATAATTATTTTTTACTAACTATATTAATACTGCGGCCTTTCCGCGAAATATTAATTATAACCATCTTAATTAATAGCGTCGAACGTTCGGGCCTATAATTCTTTACTATATTAATATTTATTCCTCCTTAAATGTTACTTCGAATTTTATTATCGGTTCTATATACTTAAACCGTCTTATAATAATAATAATAAATTATATTTATTACCTTTTTATTAATTACGTTTTATAGCAAGTTCCTTTCTTCGTTATATTTAAAATACTATTAAAAATCTTTAATAATTCATAGTATCTACGGGTCTCCTTTAAAATAGGCTTTCCAATAAATTATTACCCGGCCAGATATATAACGTACATATAATATTACTTTATTAATAATAAAAATACTTTATTAAATTATTCTTTTTAATTTAAATAAATTACTTATTATTCTCCTTTATAATTAATAAATCGAACTCAAACTCCTCCTTATTTATTTAAAAAAATGCGAAGACTATTAATATAAATTATAAACCCTCTATATTAATATTAAATTATTTAAATATAATAGCCCCAAACCGATCAAACTCCTATAGTTTTATAAATAATCTATAAATAATAAATCCTAAAACGAAATAATAATTATTTAACGTATTTTAAATACTAAATACTTTCTTCGCATATTTCCTAAAATCGAATTATATATTTAATACTATATTAATAAAAGAATTACTCTTTAATTCGCCCAGTACAAGAATATATAATTAATATTATTAAATATCCTTTTTAACCTTTAAATTATCTATAATACTAACGTTTAATTTATATTTTACTTTCGAACCGAAAATCCGTTTATTAAATTATACTAATAACCTTCGTTGTAACTTCAGTATCCGATTCGGATTATATTCTTTTATAAATATTACTAATTTTTCGTTTAATTTTACAAACTAATCTAAAATACAATCCTAATTCGCATTCATCGGCCACCCGCGCTAACTATTATAAAAAAATAATTCGCTACCTTCTATATACTTATTAAAAATAGCCTCTAATATTATTTTTAAACCCGCTACCCAATTAATAAAAATATTATAGAAATTAGGAAAATCGATATATATAGCGCCGAACTTATCTTTAAAAACTATATTTATATATTTATAATATTCGGAAGATTTTATAATACTATTCGTGTTAATAAACTGTAAAATTTTAAAAAAGTAAAATATTATTAATTAAGGAAGTAAAATAACTTTGGTAATAATATAGTAAATTTGATATTAGATTTTATCGTCGGGCTTATTAATAAAAATTATATTAAAAAGTAATTCGAATTAGTCCGAATCGAAATTATCTAAATTGTTAAGAGTAAGGGTAAGTAAACGTTTTAATATATTATCGAAAAGGTTAGTCTAGCCTGTATTCGAACGTAGAAGAAGGATAATAAAAAGGATTTAAAATATCGATAAAAACCTAAATACAAAATTCTATAAATCTAAATAGTAATTAAATAGGTATTTTAATAACGTAGGCTTATCTTATTTACCTTTTTTACTTAATTAATAAAGCGTATCTAATGTAGAATAGGAGATATCCTTATCTTTATAAACTAATTCGAACGAAGCACAGAAGGCATTTAAATCTATACCAATAGGATATTCTTAGATAATCTCTAACTAAGGTCGATCTATTATAACGATAGTAATAATATTCTTAAAACGCGGCTATAAAAGGGGCTAAAGGTCGCATTTCGTAAAACATCGCATTTAATTTTATTACGTAATCAATTATTAAACTAATAGATGGTTAAAACGTTAGGAATAAAAGGTTAGGAAAATAATTAATTAGCAACTTAATTAGAGAAAGTAAAATAGGATAATAATTATATTCGCTAAAAGTAATTTAAAGAAGAAAATAAAATAAAAATACAAAGGAGCTTTATACGGAATATTCGAAGGCTCTATAATGCACGTAACTCAAAGAGTAGGTTATAAATAAAAGAGTAGCTAGGGTAGCTAAGTAACGGCCTAGATTTAGAGAGAAGAGTGGGACCTACATACGGATGAACCAATAGGTGTGCGGATCACATTATTATATACCCTGGACGTCAGATTCGGACCAGTAGACTTGAAGACAGCCAGCCACTTAAATGTCATAACAGCTCCTCTGGAGACCGAGTGAGATTTTGGCTCTGTGTTGCCAACAGCCTGCTGAGTGAGACCGATGTCCATAACCAGCGAGCAATGCTGCCAAGAGGTTAGACTGCCCTCAGCCCGTGGGTTGATGCCTTCCAATCGTTTGAGATGCTTGAGCTCTGGTGGCTGAAGAAAGCCGAGTCTGAAGAAAGGCAATGTCGTTGGGTACGCTAGGTACCTCTAAGGACGGGCCCGGCGCCTGGTTCCTGCTTCAGGTAAATGGAAAACTGGTATAATGTATCCTCTTCCCTTTGCTCTTTCCCTTTTTTTCTTCGTTCCCCGGGATCGCCGTCACACAACAACTGAAAGTCACAAACCTGTATTCGTCCAAGACTTTTCCTGCGGAAAGTCCATTCAGGCAGAGACTGGTTGAGTCAACCAACCACAACCTGGAAGAATGCGAACACTCCAGCCTGCCTTCTCAAACCGGCTCTTGACACTGGGTCTGCTCCCGTCCTTACTTGTCTGGTCGCCGTGACCTCTGCCGCTTTCAGTACCGGCTAAGAATCTTAAGATTAATCGTCGATGTCATGGCGTTTCTTATCGGGAACTAGGATGTACTTCGACACTCACGCTTTGGGGGCTTTGGCGATATGGTCGGCAATCATAAGTGGTTTTCTGTTCGTCATGTATGTGTGTCCTCGGCCTTCTCCTTCCTTAAATGTTCATTGTTGCTGATGGTCATCTATGTGCTTTGCAGGAGCTGGGTGGAAAGAGCAATCGTAGGCCTTCTGCGTGTTTCCTTGTTTTACTTCCTCCCTTAGAATCTTCAATCATTAATGGATTCAACTACCTCGCAATGAGCATTCGGGTTGACCTATTTACAAAGCTGCAGGCGTTTACTGGCGGGATTTAGCGTTTGGGCTAGAACGTTCATTGGCGGGCATTAGATTTTACTGAGCGACGAATAGTCGGACCAATAAAGTAGGGCAAGGCAGGCAGATAAAGGAGGCAGGCTAATGCAGGCAGGTTACAGCAGGAAAATGTAGGAGGTAGGTCAAGGCAGACAAGTGAAAAGTCGGGCACGTGCATACTCTAAGTAGAATTATAGGCTACCGGCTTCGGATGTTTAGAACTATAGTTAACTCGTCGAACGCCGCCCACTCTATAAGCAACGCCCTATTTCGCAGCCCTAACCACCTCCCCTGTATACAACTCTCAACCAATCGATAAGAGCTGCTCTATATCCTAATGTTTAAATAGGACGGTCTAATCTACCTACTCAGCGGCGGCGTTTATTATTACCAGTAGGAGCGACATTTGCAGGTTTATCAAGCCTTATCGCTAAATTCTTTACTTCACTCTTTTCACGTCAACACCATTTCCGCATCTTCCCACTATATACAACCATCGTCCTTTCTTCCGTTCTTAATTCTAGCCGTTTCAAAATGGAGGCGCTTAAGAGCGAAATTAAATCAATCAAACTCCAAATCCAACACCTTTACAATTTTACTAAAACCAACTTGCAAAAATCCACTCCCTCTTCTTCTTCTACCTAAACCGACGTTATCTTTAGCGCTATCCAACAAGTTCTTAAAGTATTGAATCGCATCAACAACAAGCTCAACGAATTAACAACCACATTCTCAACATCCTCAACATCCTTAACATCCTCAACATCCTCAACATCCTCAACATCCTCAACATCCTCAACATCCTCAACATCCCTACCATCGATACTATACTTAACTAATACCGCCGGTCCTCATCCTATCCTAAAATTTAATAGTATTAGGCTCAATATCCTCCAACCGTTTACGAAAGACAACTTCGGGCTTAATCTTATCGCCAACCTACACAAGCTCGAAACGGATCCTCATTTCTATAGGAAAGTCTGCGTATTTATTATAGACTTAGGTATTAATTAGAAAGATCTTACTAAACGAACTCTACTATTACCGGATTATAATTAATTTGCAGTCTAATACAATCAGGACGATAACGAGTTTTTACAACTATACCTTTCTTACTCGAAAATAATAATTCCCATCAATTTCAATTTCGATTTCAACCTACTTACAAATAACGAAACTAAGCAATTTCTTTAAAACATTATCTCCTCCTCAAAACATTATACCCTACTAAGTCGGGCTTATTAATACTTTTAGAATACTATTTACTTCGCTATTCCCATCCGGCGCACTTTCAATACTCAGCGACCTCCCTAGAATTAATACTTTATATATATATATAGGCAAGCGTAACTCAAGGACTACTTTCTACTATAAAGATGCCTAATTATATTGTTATAATATTAATATTTTTAGGCAGAAGCTCTAAATAATAATCGACCCGAATAATATTATTAAATTTAAAAGGATACTTATAATTAAATAGGCGCTCTATAAATACAATTAATCTATATAATATTTAAATATTATAGTCAATTTGCAGAAGCTACTCGAAGAAGAAATTAAATTCGATATTATTTGCGCTAGCCCTAGTAATTTAATTATAATATAATTATAATAATATTATATAATTATTAATTAAACCCCGTTTCTTACTATAGTAACCAATTTTATTTTATTTAGTAAAGAAGTAATTCTACGTAGATAGGTTATTTATTTAAATGACAGGTTCTACAATTTATCCTATAGGAACTTTAAAAAGCTTTCCTATAAAGTTTCTACTAAGAAACGGAAATTAAACGCTACCCTTCTATTATATAATAAAAGGTAGAATTTTAGTCAATTTCGAAATATTAGCAATATTATCGGTAATAATAATATTAAAGGGAAAGACTATAAAGAAAACGAAAAGTAGGACGAAGAGGAGGACGAAGAGTAAAATAAAGAGTAAAACGAAGGGTAGAACGAAGAATAAAATAAAGAATAAGACAAAGAGCAGGACAAATAGGACGAAGAGTAGGATAAAAAGTAGGATAAAGAATAGGATTAAAGGCAAAATAAATACTAAAAGTATAGTAATAATGAAAATAGCAATTAAAATAATAATAATAATACTAACGCTACTATCGGTATCGGTTATAATAATATCCAAATTAATATTAATAATAATACGAAAGATACTAATATTGATACTAATATCGAATCAAATTATCAATTCGCAAGCCTAACAATAAACAATAATATAATTTTACGATTTATATTAATTGTATACGTTTAAGATAATATAAACATCACATTAAAAAGCTCGTTCGCTTTAAAAAAAAGTCTATAGACGAATTATTAATTATTAAGTACTACGATAATCTACGACGAAAAGTATAAGATCTTAATATTTTATATACTATTTTAGGTATATTAACCAATTTTCGGCTTTCCAAAATTATAAAAAAAATCAATATCGATATCGAGCAAGCGGAAATTATATATCAACTATATTAGTAAATCGTAATATTAAAAACACTCCTAAAATATAGAAGGTATTCGCAAAGGAAATATTTAAAGTTCGGAAAATTATAAAGATAATAGAAAGATATGATAAACTTTTCTACTTTTTACCCTTTGGGTTTAATAATAGGTTTATATTAAAACTTTTAATAAAATTTTCAAATAAAGACCTTAAAACCTTCTATACTACTATTATTTGGTATAAAAGCCTAATATTATTAAATAAAATAGGTAATAAATTTCTATTCTCTATTTAAGGTAAAAGAAAATTCAAAGAAAAATTATTCTAAAGGAAATAATTTAACGAATTATAAAACCTACCTAACGAAGACCTTATTAAATTTCTAATACCTATCCAACCCAAAAATAGTATATAGGATAGTCTTATAAAGCTAAATATTACATTCAAAATAAATAATATCAACCGTAACTATATTATTATTTTTTTCTACCAATTTTTATTCTTAATCAAATCCCCCGTAATACAAACAACGGGATTCGGATCCCGAATACGCAAATTAATACTACAAATTTTATACGATAAATACCATAAATACCATTATAAACGCAATTATTCTATAGAATCCCGTAATAAAAAGATGCCCAAGATATACTTAGTTATATTCACTTTCTAATAGAACAAATTCAACTTCAACTTAAACATTCGCTTCGGAAGCCCAT